AAAACAATACATTAACAAGAAAACAATGATAAATCGAAACCACAAAGCAATTTGTCATCTGAACTTAGAGAATCTGATTATGCACAGCCACCTGTTGCTTTTGTAATATATAGTACCACTAGGCTTGTTATTTATGTCATTACTGAGGGATTAATTCTGTGATGTCAGCACTGCAAGATTACAGGATTTAAATCGTCAAAGGATTACTGAGTAAAAATACTGTTCTCTGGAAAGTACATCTTTTTATCTCCTAACTACACACATAATTCGTAGTACCCTTTACTCTTAAGAGAGGAGGATGAATAGTTTTGCAGAAAAGTATTGCAAATTTATAATATGCAATTGAAAACTATATCAGTATTGATGTTGTAATTATTAAACTGTCAAATAGACTGTCAAAAAAGTGAAATCTCCATACAATTGAACATTAAAATACCAATTACGACTAACCAATTTTGATAAACATTGCAGTAAAGGTGATTGGGAAATGGAGAGTAAAATACTTCCACATTTATCCAGGTATTCCAAGGAGATGTATTGCCATCAAAGAGAGTCTCATAAAGAAGTTAACAATTACTGAGAACAACTCAGAATTGTCCAAATGAAATTTGCGTTTGGCATCAGTTCCTCTCATACGTTTTTTTCCAATACTTCCATCTTGCATGAANTTTTTTACAGTAGCGCCCTTTTGGCTAGCCTTACCCTGCACAATGTGTTGGCATTACCTCATAGAAATACTACAATGTGTATTCTCTGCTTCTTCCCACTTCTTTGAAATTAAAATTAAATCCTTTCTCAGCCAAGCCACTAAATGGAAGGCATCAAAACTGACAGGGTCCTTATCCTGGATCAAGAAAATATATTTCAAATAAATCGATTTTGGAGCAACACAGCGCAGCTGCAGAGAAATCTAAGAGCCAGACTGACATTTTTTCCTCCCCTCCCACCCCCCCCCAGCACTCAAACAGGAGCAAACTACAGAACAGAGTGGTAATGAAGAGGCTCAAGATGAGGATAAAACCACCAGGGAAATTAAAAATTATTACACCTACATATATACACTATTACTGTAGAATTCCACAACAAGAACAAACAACGACGACAAATTGCTTCGAAATTGCGCCTTTCCCTTTCACAAAAGGGAAGCTCTTGAAAAGGGCAAGGGAGGAGGCGAAGGATGGAGTTCCAGAGAGTGGGGGCAGAAAAGCTGTAGGCCCAATGCCGATGGTGGAATGGGCAGGGGACATGGAGCAGGCCAATGCCCACTGAGTGGATAGGTTGACAACATTTTAGTTGGTTGCAGAGGTAGGGAGGAGCAAGACCATGGAGGACATTAAAAGTGAGGACAAGGATTTTGAACTTGATCCTCTGAGGGCTGGGGAGTAGTGAAGCCAGGCGAAGATAGGAGTGATCAGCTCACGGAGCTGAGTGCGGAAAAGGACGCGAGTTGCAGAGTTCTGAATAATTTGCAGGTTGTGGAGTGAAGAGTTTGGAAGTCTGGCGAGCAGGGAGTCAGCCTAGTTAAGCATGGAAGTAATGAAAGCACGGATGAAGGTCTCAAAAGCCTGAGAGGAGGTAGTTGTGGAGACTCCCTTGCCTCTTTCAAGGCCAATGTTGCAGAGATGGGGAAAGGCAGAACAGGTCATGGCATGGTTGTGGGGTTTAAAAGACAGTTGAGGGTCGAACAAGACACCGAGGTTCCATACTGGCTCGGTGAGGCAGAGAGTCTATCCGTGAATAGTGATGTTGTCAGTGCCTGAGGTGTGGAGGCGCTAACGGGAGCAGGAGGCTTCTGTCTTGCCAATGTTCAACTGGACAAAATCAGCTCTCATCCAGGATTGATACTCCATCAGGATAGCAGTGGTCCTAGATTTGAGGGTGGTGGCAGAGAGATAGAGTCGAGAATCATCTGCATACATATGGAAGTTAAACCTATACCTGCAGGTGATATCACAGAGTTGGAGCATGTAAATATTAAAGAGGAGAGGACCAAGGACAGAGCCTTTGGAGACATCAAGCGGGATGGTGCGAGGACTGGAGGAGAATCCTTCAGTGGTTACAAAGTGGAGATGACGGGAAAGGTATGAACAAAACCAGGCAAGGACAAAACCATGATGGTGGAGCTGAGAGAGGCAGTGGAGAAGAAGAGTGGTCAACAGTAGCGGCAAGAGACCAAGAAGGAGACAGAGAGAGCCTTGGTCACAAATGGATCAGAATCACAATTCAGAATGCCCCAACTATTTCAGGACTGCAAGAACCTTTTTTTATTCAATAAAATGTGTTTATTTTCAACAAAAGCACCATTTTGCTTTTGTAAAATTAATTGCATTGGAGAAACTGAAGATCCACTTCCACAGGAGAAGGACAAGCCTCTTTGAGTCGCTCTTGCACATCTCCTAGTGGCCAGGTGTAGAGCGGCATTGGTAGCAGCATGGGAGCAAGTCATCCATCCATCTGCCTGCCTTTACATTACAGAATGGGATACTCGGGGTGGGGGTAAGGGGCTAAAAAAAAGTGAAAGATATCCTGATGATGGGAATATAAAAATCATGTACGGACAAAGATTCAAGATCTAGAATCTGAGATCTGCCATCAAGTCAAACAGAATCGAATATGGAGCCACATTGTAACATCTGTCGGAATTGTATGAGTTTATTAAAATATTGTAAAATAAAATATATTATCCACTTTATTACTTCCTTTTTGGCCTAATTCTCTCCCTCCAATTTATTAAATTTAAATTCCCAGAATGGTGACTAATAACTCAAATGCACAACCAGAAAGAATAGTTAACAAGCAAGACAGACATACAGACAAAAAAAAATAAACTCTTACATAGCAATTCTCCTTTTGTTTTAACATTTTTCTCTAGTTCTGTCCAAGCCCCCCCTCACCCCCAAAAAATAGATATCACTCACAGCAAACAATATGTTGACAGCACCAAGAATAAATTGGATTCTGCAACACAGTATAGAGATTTCATGCAGAAGTTTAAGATTATTAAAATGTAAATCTGTAAATGTGTGAAGACTTCACACTTTAACGAATTGTGTCTATAACATATGGGTATCAAATCTGACTATTCACGTTGTCTTAATCTCTGTATGTAGAACGTAGAACCTCAAAACTACTGTGTAAACATCAGGAACATTTCTATCAACCTGCCATTTTCTTTTTTTAAAAACTGTTCTGAAATGACGAACAAAAAGAACGGCAACTACAATCAATGGTATAATTGTCTCAACAACCACTTCATATTGAATATGAAAGATCACTCCGATCATGAATTAACACTGGTTCAAAAACATAATACTGCTGTAATTTAATATGGAAAAATAAAGCAGCGTGCAAATAAAATAAGCATATTGATTACACTAGCAGATCCAACATTCTTCAATCTGTGACAAAGTACAACAAAATTCCATTTTGCTGAAAGGGAACATATTTGGACTCGATATCTTGCACGTTAGATGAAAAGTAAGCAACCCATTCTAACTATCACAGAATTGTTTTTATAAACTTTAAGCATATGCATATTCTTTGCTCTAAAAATAATAAACTATGCAGCATCTACTTAACACGTGAAATCAGATTTTTTTTCCCTTAGGATTTCAAAGTCAAAGTTCCCCTTTACTAACAATCTGTATTTAATGAGGTTGTTTTCCTTACCAAAAATATACCCAGGACACTGACATATTTCCTTAAGTTTTTACTAGAATCATTTGTGGCTTTGCTGACCCATTCAGTAGTAGTGATTACGTGAGACTGGGTATTTTGACAAGTTGACAACATTTTACAAATCAGACTAAGTCTTCCCGGCGATGACTGTGTTGAAGATCATCATTGCTCCCCGGTCACTGCAATGAATCGCAGACAGAGCGATTTCTCTTTATAATATAATACTGTATTTTAGGATCGCTTCCGGGAACTAAGCAAAAAGTCAATCTCACAAAGTGCCGTCTGAGGCTGTTGTTTGGAGGCAGAATGGTTAAAACAGCAGATTATCACTCAAACCAACCAGCACTGACTAACTAAATAGTCGGTTGCGTGTGTTGGAAGTTAAGATACTCGAATGCGAGCAGTTGGGAGGTTACGATAGGGATTAAACAAGTCTTTTTTTTTAAAAAAAACTTTTTTCAGATTACACACAAAAAAAGCACATCCACACACACACACACACACACAAACGTATTGAGCATATCGGCGGCAGTTACTTTCAAGGCCGGTTGACAGCTCCGGCCTGGCCTGACCCCCTCCGGTCTGACAGTTATATATATATATTTTTTTCAAAAAAGCGACTGAACTGACATGACTTTGCAACAGGGACTTCTTCAACTAACCTTCAAATGGGGGGTGGTGGGGGGGGGTGAGGGAAAGGGGGAAGAGAGAGAAAAAAAGAGAAAGAAAATAAGATTTTTTTCCTTCTCTCTGACTTGGGGGAGGATGAGAGAGGAGAAAAAAAGCCTCTGGATGTTTACTAAAGGAAATTGCGAGGAGAGGAGGGGGGGAGGGGGGGAGGAGGGGAGTGGTGGGGGAGGGAGGAGGGGGAGTGGTGGGGGGAGAGTTAGGCTGTTGTTATTGAGACACTTCCTCCAAATGTCAAGCTGTCAAACCCGAACCCCCCCGAGTTTCCTCAGATGGCAGAGACTGGAGAGAGAGAGAGAGAGAGGCTGAGGCGCGAGAGAACAACCCCCTCACCACCCCCCCCCCCCCACCCCCCACCCCCCGCTCTCCCTCCGCGCTCTCTCTGCGGTCAGGGGAAGCGTTCAGCGGCGCCATGGAGAAGGGATGAAGAGGGGACGAAAGTCAGAGAGGAAAGAGGGGAAATTGAGGCGGGAGGGAGTAGGATGAGGGGTAAAGAAGAAGAGGGGATTAAGGAAGGAGTTAGAAAAATCTACACAGAAGTTAAGACATTCATGTGTTTCTTTGAGGAGGGGGTTAGGAAGGAAGGGGAGAGGTGTTGGGAGGGGGAAGAGGAGAGTGAGATGATTAAACCTTACCTTAGCCTTGGTGACGATGTGAGTGGCCAGCTTGACCACGGCGAAGTTGCCCTTGCCGATGGTCCTCTCGATCTCGTAGTATCCTATCCTGGCCGGCCCGCTCCTGTGGTGCTGTTGTTGCTGCTGCTGGGGCTGCTGCTGCTGGGGCTGAGGCAGGTTCCCGTTGCCCGCTGCTGCGCCGCTGGACGCCATCTTGTCGAGGGGGGAAAAAAACACACACACACGGACACACACACACACACTCTCTCTCTCTCTCTCCAGCAGCAAACAGCAGCGGGGCCGGCGGCGGCGGCGGCGGCGGGGGAGGTGCGCGTGCGCACGCGCGGGCGAGCGGGAGAATGAGTTGAGCCGCGCGCGCGCGCGCGAGAGAGAGAGAGAGAAGTGATGCGGGGGTGGGCGGGAAAAGCGCATGCGCGGGCGGGAGAGTGTGAGCGGCGCGAGAGTGTGTGTGTGGGGGGGCGGCGAGAGAACGCCTGCGCGCAGCTGCCAGCGGGCGCCAGAGCGCGTGCGCCAGGCAGCGGTTATTCGACGGAGCGCATGCGCACGGCACATAGGCGTCTGTGCGCACACACGCAGTGAGCGAGGGAGGAGGCGCGCGCGTTTGTGAGAGAGAAAAAGAAAAAAAAAGGGGGTGAGTGCTAGAGAGTGAGAGACGAGATACCGCGAGGGAGGGTGTGTGTGAAAGAGGTGACGATACATGTGTGACAGGGAGGGAGGGCGGGTCAGGAGATGAATGGCGTGCGCGCTCCATCAAGCGTGAGCGTCAAAAGCTGGTAGGCGGGGGGAGAGGAGATAAGCGGTTGCTGCGCGTGCGTACTGCGGCTTGAGGCGCGCTCGAGCCACAGCAGCAGCGACGGTTGGAGGTACGCATGCGCCCTCGCTCTGTCCTGCGCGAGCGGGGATGTGGGGGGGGGAAGGAGAGGAAAGCGACGCATGCGCTGCTATTTCCGGGCAGAGAGGCGAGGCATCGGATTGACGTCAATGCAAATGAGCCAGTGGCCCCGCCCCCCTCTTGTGCTGAAGGTTATAACCCATAAGGGAAATAATATTTATTTCAAAGAATGCCTGCGCCTGTTTACCCAGTAACTGGCGTGATAACTTATCAAGGGGACGTGATACCGTGTTGTGTTAATGTAGTGCATTATCACATTGAATTACATTTATTGCTGTCATTCTCATCGTTGCAATCGCTATCTATTTTGTGCGTTACTCTGCGGTGGCTGAATTCAACCGTGACTCAAGAGGGGTCAATGTCTCCACGACCAAAAGTGTCTGCCGTACATTTTCATTTTGCTTTCACGCGCGGTAGTGCACATCATGATGACATGCTGTGAATGCTGAAATAATCCTTGCATTTGGTATGCCGCCTTACCCATGTGAACTCGCATCCAAAAAATTGGATTGAACTTTCTCACCCAGATATGAGAGTGCTACAGTACTAATTGACCCAAGTTGAAGTTACCAAATGAGTTACAAATAAAAGGACACAAGACAGCTAGTTCTGATTTAAAATTTTTATAAAGTTTATAATTTTTTTACAAGATATTAGGTTTTATCACCGTTCCACAACATCATAAGAGTCGTGGATGAAGAATGCACTTTGACCCACTTGATTGCATGCTTTCAAAATACCCACCTTTCTCTCTTTCCATTAAAGCATCAAACTTGTCTTTAAGTGAATCCAGCATCCTGGTCTCAGCCACCCTTCCTGATAATGATAATAATAATAATAATCCTTGCATTTGATATAGTGCCTTATCACGTTGTTGGGTTGCCTTAAAGCTCTTCACAGGTTAAAGTGTAGTGACTATATATTTTGTGGATGAAATACGGCAGCCAATTGCACACAGCAGTCGCAAACAGTCGCAGATTGAGTAACGCCAATCCAATTATGGATTACCATCTTCGTAAATGAAATATTTCCGAGTGTGCATCCTACTTTGCCATTTCACAATTTGCCTATCAGTCTCACCAGAGGTCAGACTATTCAAATTCCTGTCGTAAGCAGCTGAACCGCCTTTTGTACTTGATTGATTATTCGAGATAAGGTAACATTGGTGTTTACATTTTTTGAGTTATACGTAATAGATTTTTATTTAATTTGAGAAGTTCAGCCTAGCCCGGATCAACATAATTGATGCTGGAAAGTTTGGCAAATTTTGCCTTTCTTTCAACATGTTTGATGTCTTGTTTTCCACAGGTAGCCTTAAGGGTATTGCAGTTGTAGATTTTTTTGGACAAAATGTTAAGTGTTTAGTTTCTTTGAATGCTACATTGTTTACCTTTGGTGTCTTGTGTACATATACATCTTGGCCCAGTTAAGAACACTCTTGCATCTGGGACAGAAGGCATATGGGGTGGTGGGGTAGATTCCATAACACTGTTGTAAAAGAAAAGGGAGTTCCTCCAATTATCCCAGCCAACAATCTTACAGATTAATTGGTCATTCATTTCACAGCTGTTGCTGGGTATAAATTGGCTGCTGTGTTAGGCTAAATACAGTTACTACACAAAACAGTAATTACCTAGATGCTAGACAAAAAGCAAGGAGTATCATAAATAGTGAAAGACTATTGCCACTGGTTGGTGAATTTGAAACAAACTCAGGATTGTCACTGGAAATGTGCCTTTAAATTGCAATTTTATCTATTGCATCCCCTTTGCTTGTGTTTCAAGAGTTGTTTCTATTTGTCTCTGAGTATAGTCCTGTAGCTCAGTGGTTAGAGTACTCGCAAGCGATAGACCTGGGTTAGATTCCCGGCAGGGCAAAATGTTGGGCAAGTTATCTTACTCCTCACGCCTCTATTTATCTAGCAATAAGTAGGAACATGATTGTTAGTCAATTGGTGGATCGCTTTTCCGGGACTAATACTCCTTAAAAAAACACGATAATAATTTGGTCACTCAATCCATGACTGTTCACTCAATCCATGACTGCTGTGCGTAATTGGCTGCCGCATTTTGCCCACAAATATACAGTCAATTCAGTTTACAGTATATTCTGTGAAATGCTTTGAGACATCTAGAAAACATGAAAAGCACTATATCAATGCAAGGATTATTATTATTATAGTGTTGTCGTGTGTTTCTTTCTCCAAAGCTCTGTCGGTGACTGTGGATCTCTTTCAATATAAGGATCTGGATGTGCTTTTCTGATTGTTGTGAGCTTAAAATCAAAGCCAACCTTCTCATTTATAGAAAAAATATGCTGGTAGGCTATCTCTGTGCAACAATTTCCAGCTCTTTTGAAAGGGCTCTACACAACAACAAAAATAAATTACATTTGTATAATTCACCTTCAAAGACCTCCACAGCCTTCCTCCTCCCTACCTCTGTAACCTCCTAAGCCCCTACCAACTTCTCCGCTTAACAGGCTCCGGCCTGCTTCACATCCCTGCCTTGCTCACCCTACCATTAGCCTCTCTGCCCCGAACCTCTGGAATTCCATCCCATGGTCCCTCCACCTTGCCCCCTCCCTCGCCTCCTTCAAGACCCATCTCAAGACCCTCCTCTTCAACCATGCCTTTGGTCACCCTCCTACTCCTACCATCCCCGTCCTCCACCCCCCCCCCCCCGATCCCAACCACCAGCTCGGGCACTAATCCCTGACTGTTCAGCACCTTAGGGCGTCCTCCTAACTCAAAAGGCGTTATACAAATGTAATTTGTTGTTGTTTTATTTTGCCATGTTGAAAAATTTTCCCCTGGATATGGTGAGGTCTGCAGATTGTTCATTAGCCTTGAAGCAATGTTAAACTGGACATGGGTTCATACTCTCCTGATGCCCAGTGACAGTATAGCCAGCAGAGACTTGAGATGAGGAAGTCTGCTCACCTTCTCTACCACGGTAATCTAAGTGGCATAAGAAGCTTTAAACATTACTGAAAAATCATTTGCCTTTTAACTCCTGCACTCAACCAGAAAGTTATAATTTAACATCAAAGCAGGTTTCAGATGTGTAAATTACAGTATCTTATCCCACAACAATTATTAAAAACAGTAATTTTTTCATTACACGTTTATAATGGGAATTATTGATCTTTTACATTCCATTGTATATTAAACAGCTGTTATTTCATGAAGCTAAAAGTGAGATTGAATATGTCATATTACACCAATGATAAGATATCATCAGGTTGTTTCATTTAATTCTGTAGAACGCTTCCCAAAATAGCCCAAACCACAATGTCTCTAGTTCTGTTTTAATTACTGAGAAATCATAACGGAAAGTTAAGTCATTCTGTTTCCATCAAAGCTGACCATCAGTCAAATGGGTGTGGCTCGGGCAATGGGACATCAGTATGGCAAGCTGTGCCTCTATTTTGATTGACATCTCTGAAGGTAAACAAAATAACACCAACAAACTTTATACTTTTATCAGCTTCGAAACTGATTTCAAAGCGGCTGCCTTTTTTCCAGCCAGGTTTATTTTGGGTAAGTGCTTTCTAATTAAATGTAGAAAATTGTGGAGTCGTGCAGCTTTAAGGGGCCATTATATAAGTCTTTTTCATGAGCGAAAGAACAGCACTTAGATTGTACCGCTTTACAGACGTCATTTTATCACATTCATGTGGGTTGGAATCTCTGGATGTTTTTAAAATTATGTAATTTTCTACAGTTGTGAATTAATGATAATCCTTACATTTGATAAAGCGCCTTATCACGTTCTTAAGACGCCTAAAAGCAATTTACAGAATATACTGTAAAGTGGATTGAATATTTTGTGGGCGAAGCTGTTCACATGTTTCTTTCACCTGCCTCTCTCTGTTTCTGAAAGTAGACTGGCAGTCTTAAGCGCTCCGGGACGCGACCTCCCATGATGAGCGCTATATAACAACACAATTACATTTGTATAACGCCTTTCACATCGGGAGTACATTGGGACGTCCTCCTGACGTGAAAGGCGCTTTATAAATGGAATCTTGTTGTTGTTGTTGTACATCCCAATACACTTGACAATCAATGCTTCAGACCCACGCTGGGGATCAGGGAGGGTAGAGGGCGGGGGAGGTGGGTGGGAAGGAGGGTGACCAAAGGAACAAGGATGGAGGAGGCAAGGCGGAGGGACTGTGGAATGGAGTTCCAGAGCCTGCGATGTGAAACAGTGGCAGAGCTGGGCGATGTTGCAGAAGTGGGGGAAAGCAGAGCTGGTCATGGCACGGATGTGGGGTAGAAAGGATAGTTGAGGCTCAAACAAGACGCTAAAGTTCCGGACTGGCTTAGTAAAATGGAGTGTGCATCCA